TGGGTTGGAAGGGACTGTAAAGACCAAGTTCCAAGCCCCCTCACATGGGCAGGGACACCTTTCTCTAGATCAGGTTGCTCAGAGCCCCATCCAACCTGGCCTTGGACACTCTCAGGGAGGGGGCATCCACAGCTTCCCTAGGCAACCTGTTCCAGCCTCTCATCACTCTCATAGTGAGTTTAATGTAAATCCACCCTCTTCCAGTTTAAAGCCATTACCCCTTGTCCTATCACTTCATGCCTTTGTAAAAAGCCCCTCCCCAGCTTTCCTGTAGCCCCTTCAGGTACTGGAAGGTTGCTACAAGGTCTTCCTGAAGCCTTCTTTTCTCCAAGCTGAACAGCCCAAACTCTCTTAGCCTGTCCTGGCAGTGCAAAGCCAAGTAGGAATACAGGCAGACAGGAAGACAAAGCTAGAATTTAACATAATCACATCAAAAAATTTAAGAAATAATTTAGTAACTAATTAGTTTTAAAAACTAATTAGAAATAAGTAAGGGCAACAATATTCCACTGAGGCTGGAATAAGCAGCTATAGAGTAGAGGACAGACAATAACTGTTCAGAAAGAAGTCTGCTGGAGGAAATAACTATAGACTTTGCAGTAGATATGGGGAGTCATGTTGCTGTGAAAATGGCAAATATCACAATGGAATAATGAAAGAGGAATATCCCCTGCTAGTTCTATGAAGTGACTTTTCCTGTCTGATTCACACTAACAAGGCGTCAAAGCACTGTGCCTTTTTTGTCTTTAGCACTTCAGGAACAGTATGAAGTAGCTGGACAGAATCTACAACAAAACCTAGAATAGTTGCCAAGCAAATGAGATCTTTGAATTAAGTTGTGTTTGGCCCAAGGAACAGGGTAAGAGAGATATTTAATCTTCATGTACACAAAAAGCAATTGCAAAGAGGAATTTAAGTCCATGCCACTCAAAGTGCCATGCTCAAGGGAGGCATCTTATTTAATTGGCCATCTTCATAAAGATGGGTTATTGGTCCTAATGATCTTTAAGTGCAGCTTAGAAAAGCATGTCAGGCATGACACAGGGTGAGGAAGTCCCTTAAAGTCCCCCTCAACGTCCCTTACAGTTGTGTTATTCTGTGACAGCTATATTCCAGCATACCAAAGTGGGCAGGGACACTTGGTTATGCCAGGGCATCCCTTTCTTGTTGCTATAGCTGAGTAAGGAAAACAGGGCCACAGCAGGCTACTACTGCTATTTGGTCTAGATTTGAGTGTGATTTTTGAATGAAAAAGCAATATTTTTTGAGGATGTTTGCAGAGCTGCATAAGTGCGATGGCAACAGCTCAGATATCGCATCTATACTCAGCTGATGAGAAAAGTTTATTTAGCAAAGCCATTAAAACCTGATTAAAATTTGATGGGATGATAGGATAAATGTGGTAGGTCCACTGAGGTCTGAATTGCTGCCAGTATTCATTAACACCCTGAACACCCCATTGGGAATCCTATCAAAAGAGTATTTCAAGTCTAAGCCATGGGAATCAGAATAAAATCCTGGATAACAACTGTCATATCATTCAGATGAGTGATTTATGTTCCTACATGACAAGTGAATGAAATGAGAGAATGGAAAGCTGCTAAAGGATTGGTTTGTCTCACAGATATATGTGGGGATTTATGAATGCTGAAAACACAAGGCTAGTTTCATACTTGGTATAATTTCATCAATTTAGCTGAATTTTCCAAGGATTGAATATGGCCTGTAGTCTCTGTCCTGATCTACTGAAATCAGGTTAATATTTTGATATATTGGAAGATAACAGTTTATAGACTGTAAGGGAATAAAACTGGCATGGAACCAGATGCAGAAGTGATTACAGACAGACTTGAGAGAGAGAAGACTGTTTTGCTGACAGAAAAAAATGTAGTTGTTGCATCTGCAAAGCTGGCAATTAAATTATATAAAACCTAGCATGAGGATTCAGAGAAATATACAGAGGAAGAAAGAGGACAGCTGGTGTGTTACCAAGTCTGTCATTCCTTTAAAGGTGGAGATAAGAAGCTTGAACTTTTTGTGTCAAGGCAGTAGCCCAAAGAAATTTGAAAGAAAGAGAGAGAATGGCAGAAGCTTGAGATTGTTTTTAACTTGTGCATTTCTGCTGTACTGGCAAGGCAAATACTGAGATTTGGAAAGAGCAGGAAAAGGTTATGCTGTATGAAAAATCAGTCAAGCATGGTTTAGATTGTAAAGAGCACAAATTTAAAAAGGTAAGAATGAGTGCATGTGATGCAAAGGGACAAAAGGTTAAAGGAGGCTTGCAGATTACTCTGCAGTTTGTTGAAAGAATTGAGCTGTTAAGGATGGATGATAAAGAGGAGGTAAAATCTAGAGGTTTGGGGGGGGTGGTTTTATTTGATGCTTTGTTGCAGGGGCAGGGGAGCTTGGTTGGTTGTTTTGCAGAAGTTTTAACTGCAACGAGCTTAATAAATTTTGAGTCAATTGCATGTTTAGAATTATTAAATAAAAAGTAAAACCCAAACATCTTCTGACTTCATTACATAAAATATTGGATCGCATTAATGTCCTTCGTTTGTTGGAAATACTTCAAGTGTTTAAGAATATTCTCTTTTGTCTCTGTTTAATTTCTAGATAGAAAGTTTTTATTTAAAATATCTGTCACAAGTATTTTTTGGACTCAGAGAGCTTCCCCATGTTCTTGTGGTAGGGGCCTGGGTTAGGGAATGTCATAGGCCTGTAACAGGGGGTGGCCTTTTGTAAAATGTCTGGATACCACACTTGTGTCTTGGCCCTCAACTGAGTGTCCTCCATAGAATTAGCTGCTTACAGGTGGCTTTGATGAAGACAACAAATTGCTTATAGGTCTGACAGGATTGTTTGGAGAGATCTGCCTCCACTTTTGCATGGAGAATTTAGAGACAAAGAGGCTCCAGAGTGCTGACATGAGAGTAACAAGAACATTCAAGGGGAAAAGTTTCTGTGAATCAGTCATAAATAGCTGTTTTCAAAGAAGTGTGATTAAATGCTTTGTTCAGAGAAGTCCTTTAGATGGCTGTGGTGTTTGGCCACAGTTGTTGGGACCTGTGATGAGGCTGTGGAGTGTCCTAGCTGATAAAGTTGGGTTAATATCTGAATTTTTGCATTGTTATTTGTTGGCTTAGAATAACAGTTTGGAAATCTAACCAGGTAACCATGCATATCTTCCTTTTACAATTTTTTTCCTGTTTTTTTGTCTTACTCTTATAACTTGACATAGCAGCACTAGTCTTTAACTGGTAAATGTTGCCTGCAACACAGGTTTTCATATAGTGGTGCATTGGCTTTTCTTCCAACTGATTTTGAGAAACGAATTGAAACAGTTTCAAGAAACTCTGAAAGTTCTACAAATTGCAGAATCCACGTTGTCTCTGCCTTTTCTGTTTGCTAGGTTTGTCTGTTTGTACCCAGTAGAGTTTAATTGAATAACAGTGATTGTAAGAATTAGTTCCTTCAACTTTATAGGCAAACAACTTTTTCAATTTAGCATACTTTTATGCACACTAAAAGACTTACCATTTAAGACCGTATAATCTCTTGATTTAAGTAGCAGTATAATATAAATTAGAGGCAGGTCTTGGTCTAGTATTGCTTCATCTCAGAAGATAAATAACATGAGAAGCAAGTAACACCAAACTTCACATCTGGGGTTTTGTTGAGTGATTATTTGTTGGGGTTTGTGTGTGTGTGTAATCTTAATTACATCTGAATACTAATTATGTTTTTCTTTAAATGTTTATATACTGACTACGTAGATACAGACCACAAATCTTTGAATTGTCACAAAAGTGTTGAAATAACTTGCTGATCAGGGATAAAGTTAAGCGTATCTGTACAGCTCAGCCTGTTGCTTTGCTGAATCTAAAGAGCTTACTGATCTTAATGTAAATTTTTCCCTTACAAAAATCACCTTGCTTAAATGTATGAGCTAAGCGATGGGAATGTCCTGAATGCTGACCAGAATACTGCTTCTTGAATGCAGCCCAGTGCTGAAGATGTTCAAAAAGAAAATGGAAAGTTAACTTGCTTGCAAGGAGGAGTTGTTTGTTTTTATTTGGCTGTTCTTGCTAACATAAAAGGCTGACTCACTGAATAATCCATGAGAAGCTGAATGTCTGCCAGCTGAGGTCACAAAAATACCCCTGTAAGCAGTCTGCTTTACATGGTCGACAGGGTAGACCTAGACCAGGCACAGAACCCGTAATCAGATTTATGTACAGGTCCTTACTTGGTCCCCACTGCCATATAATTCAGGAGCCTTCTAATGTAGGAGGTACAGAACCATTAACATTAGTGTTGTAGATGGGAAACTGAGGCCTTCCAGGACTGACCAGATGGTCAAGCATGGTTAACCACATAACTCCATGCTGTCATTGAGTTTAACAGGCTTAGTCAGCTAGGAAGACTTTGGAAAAGCTGCATGACTCCTGAATTTCAGCCCAAATCTCATTTTTAATCCAGTGTACAGAGATAATATATGTTAGGTGCAGAACAGACATGAAGTAAAGCCCCAAACTATTTCAGGTTAGTGAGCTTTTTTGTTTTGGTTTGTTTTTTGTCAAACACACAAGAAAAGCAAGAAGTGAGGTAACAGCCATACCTCATGCAGACAATCAGTAAAAAGAGGGGGTTTTGTTTCCTGAGGCCACAAAGTAAGAGATGAAGAGAGGATTTTTCTGCGTGTTGTCATTCTTGTATTAAAAAATAGTGTTTCAGGAAAGTGCTCTTAGTTACTGAAGATAAATGACATTAAAAGCTGTCAGCAGAAAGACTGTGGAATGTGTGAAAATGTGGAAGGAGGATAAACTGCACAATGAGAGATGGAATAGCTTGCACAGCTGATGACATATTTAACTTAATACTTGAAAAAACAAGCTTGCGGTGGGCAGGTTGACATTTTAAATATGAGCTACAGTTAATACCACTAGTAGGAAATTAATGAAAAGTAGCTGTGTTCTTTGAACTTGCATCTTTACTTGCAGAAGCATGATGGCCACTTCACAGTCATCCAGCTGGTTGGCATGCTACGGGGGATTGCATCTGGCATGAAGTACCTCTCAGACATGGGCTATGTGCACCGTGATTTGGCAGCCCGAAATATCTTGGTCAACAGTAACCTCATGTGTAAAGTCTCCGATTTTGGTTTGTCACGAGTGTTAGAGGACGATCCTGAAGCTGCTTACACAACAAGCGTAAGTCTGTCTTATCTAATTTGAACAGCTGATTGCCTCATGCCTGGTTTGTTTTAGTTTCAGATTTGTCTGTGCCGTAAGAGTTGGAGTTGGTTTTGTTCCACTCTCTGTCTGTAAGAGTTGGAGTTGGAGTTGGTTTTGTTCCACTCTCTGTCCATGTGGCTTAATGGCACTGCCCATGTGTTTAAGGGAAGTTGCTTTGGTTTTCACCTGTGTGAGGGACGTATAATGAACTTTGGCAAAAGTTGGTTGGGGTTTTTTTAAGCAAATGGGCAGGTGTAATTGGGAGACTTTTCCCATTCATGTTTGGGTTTTGTGTAGTTTCTTGTTTTTTCCTACATTCTTTCCCCTTCTGCTAAATTATGTTCAAAGACATCTTTTTAAAAGGGGCATATAGGCAAGGTGATAATATTACCAGTTCTACTGTTGGAAGCAAGAAGTCAAGGCTTGCATTCATAATTTCAAATTTTCATTTTATTTTACCTAAGTTTACCTTATACCATGATATGTAGGAACTTTCTTTCAAGGTTTAAGCCTTGTTACATTAATACTTGAATTCCTTACATGATGCAAGGAAGTTGTTACAGTGGAAAAAGGGGTTTGGGTGGTTTTTCTGTTTGGTTGATTTGGTTTGTGGTGTTGGGGGGTGGTTTCCGCTGAAGTTAGAAATACTTGAACAGGGAGAAGCTTGTTCAGATTCAACTTGAAAAAAAAAAAAAAAAAAAAAAAAAAGAACTGCACCTGCAGTATGGAGTAAGTAGGAAAAGGAGTATGTTGGTACAAATAGAATTACAAGTTCAAATACAGGATTTTTTCACCATACCAAAATGTTTAATTATAGTCTAGTTATGCTTATTACCAAAACATTAAGAATATTAGCTAATTACAAGCTGATTTCAAGTAACTTTCATAAATACCCCTGGAACTAAAATTATTTCAGAGTCAGAGTGCATTCTTGTTAGTACACTCACAAAATGCACAGAACTCAAAAATGTCCGTGATAGGACACAGTGACCGAATTCTAACAAAGATAATAAATTATCATTAGATAATTTATTTTGACATATTTGATCTTTTTTTTTTTTCTATTTTATTTTATAAAGTGGTGTATGGACTGAGGAACTCATCAAATTTAACTGTATTGTAGTAAATACTCTTGAATCTGTTGAATACAATGTAGCTATTGTAATGGGACTGCAGATCTTTTCTATAGAAATATATATTTTTATTTTATTTCGTTTACACCTTAAACAGAGGTGTTCTGATAAATTCACTGTAAACTACACTTCTTGGAACCAGGTCTATGCAGAACTGCAAGCTGACTAGAGCAAAACAAGTCATTTTGCAAGGTTTTCTAAGAGTATAAGTTACAACAGACTTGTAGTGAGAGGACGAGAAGTAATGGATTTAAATTGGAAGAGGGCAAATTTAGGCTACACGCGAGGAAGAAATTTTTTAGTGTGAGGATGCTAAGAAACTGAAACAGGTTGCCCAGAAAAGTTGAGGAAGACCCATCCCTGAAGTTTTCCAGGCCACGTTGGATGGGGCTCTGAGCAACCTGATCAAGTGGGAGGTGTTCCTGCACATGCTGGGGGGTTGGAACTAGACGATCTTGAAGGTCCCTTCCAACCCTAAGTATTCTACAATTAATACGCAAGCTGGGAAAGAAAAAAAAAAATAGTAGTTGTTCCCTTTGTAGGGGATCTTTCCCTCATTTCTCAAAACCTCTTTTGCTTCACACTGCTTCTTTGTATGAGGCATGAAAGGAAAAATAAACATTACTGCAGCTGAACAAGTTAGCACATGTTGGCTGAGCCTTGCTAATTGTGGTGTGAGGGTGCTCAGCTGGCAGCAAATGCCCCCAGTGACAGGCAAGTTAACTCACATTGCTCAGCACTGATCATGAGCTAATCAGCTCAGCTGGTGGGAAGCTCTGGAAATTGCCAAGCAGGGTCTCCCAGTTCAGGAAAAAAATACCTAATGATAATTTGAGGCTTTCAGCTATTATTCATCCTGTAAGTTTCTAATGGACACAGACAGCAAACAATTTGTTTTTCAGAATGCTGGTGCCTGCCTTCTGATCACAGCTAGAGCTGCTTTTAATCTGGAAATGCTATGTTACTTTAAAAAAGTAATATATCATAGCAGTATATCTGTGTCAAAGGACTTTCTTGAACGATAGGACAGGCTTTGAAATGCTCACTCTTTTCCTATTGGTTCACCTAAGCTAGTTAACATGAGAGTCTGTGAGACCAGTGTTGTAGGTGGAACACCTCAAAGCCATTGTTTCAGTTCTCCAAGGTTGCAACTACTTGCTGTACCAGAAGCAGGACAAGCAAGAAGCTTGTCCATCAGGGTACTGCAAATGAGGAGGGGACATGCCAGTGGCAGAACCCTGGGTCAGCCACACATTTCAAGGTGAATCTGCTTTGACCATGAACTCCACAAAGAAGTTAAAAAAGCATTGGAACTCAGATGGGAAAATACTGTGTTTCATTATAATATTAACTAGAAAAATTGTAAATAGGAATAATTCAAAGCAGTAGAGTCAGACATTATAAAAATTAAAAGCATTTTAAACCATCCATTCCTTCAACCCCAACCCCTTCTCTTCTTGCAGTGGGTCTTCCCATCCAAGTTATCAGTCACTGTGGCTGAATCTGCCCACTTCTCTTCTGTCAGCTCTGCTCCTTGGGAAGTGTCTTTTCCTCATCCCTGAGGGCTGACTGACTGCTCCAGTCCTTGGTCCATATTGCAGTCATTCTGTACGAACTGGTCATAGCCAAGTTTCTCTGTTCTTGCCTGCTATATGCTTCACCCTCTGGATTTTGCTCCCAGGAGCAGGTCCAGTAGATGTTTCTTGTAGGTATTCCAATAGTCCTGTTGCTTTTTTTAAAGGTACACAGCACAATTATGGCCAAAGCGGGAGAAAAGGAAGACTTTTTTTGTCACAGTGGCTGTAGAGGACTCAGTGAAGACTTTGACACTTTAAGCAGTCTTTCATGGTAACAGAAAATAATAGAACCCCACACTGAATCTCATGTATTCTCACAGCTTTTACTGACCATCATTATGTCACTGACCTGTCTCCTCATCATGAACGTCTTCCCAACAGCAGACCACAAGTATTACTAGAGGGTTTTATAGCATCTATTTAGTTTCATACTGTACATTTGCCATATAAAGGTTAAACCCTCAGTGCTCTCAAAGAGGTTCCAGTGCTTTTAGAATTTGTGTTTCTTCTCCACAGGGATTTTTCTTTGTAACAGCCCAGTACCTGTAGCACGGAATCCATAGTCTATATATTGAATAGTATTTTTTTTAGGCTCACATCTATTCTTACACCACTGTCTATCAGTGCTCAGACAAAACTGTGATTATTTTTTTATTCCCCTTTTTGTCTTAGTCCAGGTGTCAGAAATTGAACGGTACATTTGGATGTTTTTATTTGGAAACAAGAGCAATGAGACAACCTAAGCGAATCAGAAGCCAAAAACTTGAGTTTCATATCCACGCATCTGTGATGCTGTGGTCAATCTGTATTAATGTATCCCCAGACATAAGAATTGTAAATTGATGCAAAAGACAAACCAAATTTTATAAAGTTGTCATGCTCTGTGACAGAACAGGTTGAATCCTCACAAAAATTAGCCAAAAGGCCTTCTTACCTTGTGAATTTACCACGTCTGAGCAGGCACAGCATTGAGTCAGATGATCAACATCTTTTCTTTTGTCTTCTTGTTGTCATCCAATATATGTGTCTTCCTCTCTGCTTGCTGGTTTAGATGAGACCTTATATTCTTTGTATTGGCACATCCTCCCACATGCAGGGCAAAAATCAGGAATCGAAATCTGTGGAAAATAGAGAAAAATCTGGAAAGGAAACGACCTAGAAAATGGCTACATTCTGTGCTCACACTGAAACCCTGTGGAGGAGACGATGCAACTGAGCAGTGATGAGCAAACTGAAAAATGACCAAAAATAGCAGATAAAGGTCATTAAATTTCTCAGAAAATTTGGATTGACATTACTGGTCAGAGAGCTGTTGAATGCTTTAAACAGTACGTGAAAATACTTAAATCTCAGAAATCAGCTTTCTGACTTCTGTGAAGACTTTGTGGTTTGCTTTTTTTATCCCCCAGCTGATTGAAACAAACAATGTAAATATGTTTTCGTTAAGAAGGTTGGTAGGAAATAAGATATTGACCTCTGTTTTCTATTAGGAGTAGCAAAATTTGCCACAAGATATAATTTTAGAATAGAGGAATTAAGTGCTAGGAACATCAATCTGCCAATATTTGAGTTTTGGATTGATCGGGAAAAAATAAGGTAAATTTTGAGATAACTCAGTAGCTTTTACTTTTTCTGATAGAGACAAAATTGTCATTTTTAGTAGTGGTTTCCAAGGCAACAGGAGCTCATGAAAAGATATTTCTAGTATATAAACAAGCATGCCTGGCAATACAGAGGAAATCTAGGTTCTTGCATTTCTGCTTTTAGGTAGACTATGTTATATGGTGTCAATTAATTTCATTTAAAACATAGTTATGGTTCACTTGTATTTCAAAAAGAACCATGACCCTCCAGGAAAACGCTTCACATGTAGCAAAATGTGTACACATATTTATGTGTATATAAAATCAAAACGAGATCTGTAGTATTACTGCAAAAAGGAAGAAACTGGTATTTCTGTTTAAGATGACACCTTAATATTATGTGTTAAGTCAGATATTTACTGAGACAAAAAGCCACTACTAACTGAGTTACATGCTACACAGAATCACAGAATGTTAGGGATTGAAAGGGACCTCTGAAGATCATTGAGTCCAACCCCCCTGCCAGAGCAGGACAGAAAACTAGAGCAGATCACTCAGAAAGGCATCCAGAAAGGTCTTGAAAGTCTCCAGAAAAGGAGACTCCACAACCTCTCTGAGCAGCCTGTTCCAGTACTCTTTAACCCTCACAGTAATTTCTCTCTCATCAGCTGGATTTCTAGTCT